TGGTCTTGTTGTTGTTGCTTTTAGTTTAGCTTCTCTAGGTTCAGTTGGTCCCGTAGAAGTCTCCTGGGGTATGTATCTAGTTATATACTACGTGTGCATCCTATGTGTTGTATGTTGTTTTGCTTTCTTTCCACGGTTTCACTTTTGTGATTCCGTGTGACAGTGTGATCACGGGATGGAGAGAGTACCGTTTAGGTTCCATATATTGGTGGAGGTAGGCGTGATTGGAAATGACAGTAAAGAATATTTAATGAAGCTTAGCATGTTCGCATCGCCAACTTCGTTCGCTTTCCGAGCTCGTTTGCTTCGCCAAGATCGTTCGCTTCGCCGTGTTACCATCTTCATCCCTACCGATCCGCCGCGGGCAAAACTAGCTATGTTACTATAATCACAGTGTGGTTTATTCTTAGCCTTGCCCAGCCTTGTTCGGTCTTTTTGAGAATATTAATGTTTTACTGCTCTATTGTATGGTTCTCTATAATTTATGCATTCCCCTTACTTTCGTGCATGAAAACTCAAAAAGAAATAAAGCTAACTTGATAAAATTTTCATACCAGTTTAATAACACGGGTGGAACGTTGAGGAGTTGTAATTTGCGCATTAGAATGTTATGGTCAATTCGATCAAACGCTTTGGAAAAATCAATAAAGCAGGATCGAATAATGGTATTAGGTGTTTCCAGGGCCGAAAGCCAATGGTGGATTAGGTGCACGAGGGCGTGAGTCGTTGAGGACTTTTTCACACAGCCAAACTGGAGGGGATCAATGAATGGCATAACAATGGGTGCAAGCCAGTTGAACACGAAAGACTCAAGGATCTTGCTCAGTACTGCCGTGAGGGATATAGGTCTAAGGTCCGTATCAATAGATTTCGGTGTAGGGATCTTGCTTAAGGGGAGAACATCCGCGCATTTCCACAGATCAGGTACACGACCTTCTCTAATGGAAGAGTTAAACATGGAGCATACAGGGTAGCTAATATTTGCGGCACATGTTTTCAGGATCCAATTGGGGATCTCATCAGGTCCTACAGACTTACGATCGTTAACACCTGCCAATGCAAGTTCAACAGCATCACGCGTAATGACTATCTATCAGGAACATTGGAACGGGTACTGGAGTGAAATTTAAATGCGGTATATCAGCAGCAGTACTGCAGAAGGATTCATTAATGACGGTGGCAAGTTCAAAGTCTCTCAAGACGTGCCGTTTATGGCTAGACTATTAAACGAGGGGGTTGGACATTCCTAACAACTGCTTGATACCGTCCCACCACGTTTTAGGATTGCTCTGGTTCATGTGATTGATTTTGTCGTTATAGAATCTTCGACGTGCACTTTTACAGAGTTTTATCACTTTATTGCGATAAACATGAAATTTGAGAAGGTCATTATTCAACCAAGCTTGTTGACGTTTCTTAATGGATTCTTTAATAGCGGGAGTAATCCATGGTTTATCGTTGGGATGGAGTACAGTACGCATGGGAATACATGAATTCAAAGCACCATGAACCACAGACTGGGACAAATCCAGTTGATCGTCACATAAATTTCGCCTCATGAGCGGTGTCCAATTGACCGAGTCCAGGCAGGATATCAAATTTCGTTTGTTGGAAACACGATAATCACGCTTTTGGAGTCGTGTGGTGGGTAGGCTTGGAGCATGTGGTGAAGTGGGTTGAAGTAATATGCTAGAATGATCAGATTGGCCAATAGGTGGCAGGATGGTAGCATCGTAGTAAGCCGATAAAGTTGAAAATGCTTGATCAAGGATATTACTTCCCCTGGTAGGCTTGGTGACCAGAGTTTTCAATCTAAAGGAATTGCACAGATTTCCTGGCTTAAATTCGTTAAAATCTCCGAGAACCAGGACAGCGGAATTAGGATAGTTGGCCAGTGAGAAATCTAAGCATTTGAAGATATGCGTTCGAAGCGCGTGGTCATCGCTTTGGGGGGGGGGTGATAAACTGTTCCCAGGATAATGGAGTTTATTCCTCGGGGTAATCGATCCATTTTGATTAAAAACCATTGACTCTCAATTTCAGGATCGCCTAAGTCAGTTAATTCGGTAAAATTAAGGTTTGAGTTAAAATAGGAACAAAGACCACCACCGCGCTGGTTATTCATTCTATCACGTCGGCAAGATACATAACCAGGAATACGTATAGACTCATTAGTTATTTGTGGATTTAACCATGTTTCAGTAATTACGGCAACGTCACACAGTTCGATAGAAATTGATGCAGAAACTTCGTCTAACTTGTTGACCATCGACCTAACATTACTAAACCAAATCTTGGGAAAGCGTGGGATCGTAACAGGAGTCTTCAATGGGATTAATAATCTAAAATTGGGAACCCAGATGCGCTCCCGCCGTTTGTTTTTTCTGTAAGTAATCCTAGTAGGTATTCTCATCTCTGCTGGCTGATATTGTTCCGTGTTACTCGATGAACATAGTGGAGGTATTCCTTCCACGACTTCATTTGTTCTATGGGGTCTATTTGAAGACTCGAGTTGAACTTTATCAGGGGCTTTATAAGCGTTGGCGGCTGCCAGAAATGGACCCTTGTTGGATTCCGAGGCGGCCTTGGACGGTAGTTTCTCCTTGGACGGTGGTTTTCCTGGACGCTTTTAATAAAAAATTTTGATCACGATTTCTGACTAGGTGTCGATGGGTTATAGGGGGGTGATTTGCGTCTTGAATTCCAGGTATAGAGCTGCAGTGCCTGGGTCTTGCAGGGAAAGGCTTCTTGCACAATTCGCTTTCGCAGTCTTGCTTTTGATGGAATGCTTTGTGTTGTTTAGCACGGTAATGATGAACCTGTTGCGTTAGAGAGTCATTTGCATTTTGTTGATTTCCATTTAGATTATCTAGATTTGGACTAAGACACCGGTGGCTTTTATTTGCATTTGGGAGATGACCGGCAGTTGGATCTTTTAGTTGGATCTTTCTGACTAGATGTCGATCAGTTATAGAGGGGAGATTTGAGTCTTGAATTCTAGGTATAGAGCCACAACGCCTAGGTCTTGCAGGGAAAGGCATCTTGCGCAATTCGCTTTCGCAATCGTGTTTTTGGAGGAATGCTTTGTGTTGTTTGGCGCGGTAATGATAAACCTGTTGTCTTAGTGAATCATTTGCATCTAGTTGATTTGCATTTAGTTGATCAAGATTTGGACTAAGACAATGGTGGCTTTTATTTCCATTAGGGAGATTACCTGCAGTTGGATCATTTTGTTCGACATCAGTAACAATGATGACTGAATCATTAGCAGCTGTTAAGCCTCTCGTTATACGGTTATGGTTTTGATATTCAAGCACTGATTCATGACCCAGACCATTGGGTAGTTTACTTTGCCATTAACTGAGGCTAATCCGACAGGACTTAAATCTGTATTGTTCTCTATGTTCGCTGTTCCCTTTAGATATGATTTAATTAACAAAATCTCATCTTTGAGACGGTTTACCTCGTGCTCTAAAGCACTGTTCTTTGCCTTTTCTCCCTCAAGATCAATATGTAGGCAAGCTACTTCTTTAGACAGTTTAGATACTATGATTGATGGGGGATCACCACGGGAATCGTTTAGGGCCTGCATTGAGTCGACCTTGCTATTCAGAATTTCAATCTCCAACATTATATTTTCTAAATACTCACAGTTGTTATCATGATGGTCAATACTTTTGAAAGCATTTTCCGGCATATCTTTAGTTGGCGTCAATAGGTAGATCAAACAGGCTTTTGCTGTTTCTCCAACTGTTCCTTTGAAAGTTAAGGTATTTAACTTTCCGGGATACCATGTCATAGATAGATCTGTGCTATGGGCATCAAAACACTTTGAAACGCCTCCTGACCGCCGCCACTTGCCTTGTTGACCGAAGGCATTCGCCACAAAATCTTGCAAGGATTCGTAGCTATCCTGCCATTTAATTCGCTTACCATCGTAAGAAATGCTATCCGATGTTATATACTTATTTATATTGAGGAAATCAAAGGCGTCAATGAGATTTTTATTTGTAGACTCGGAGCTATGAACACTGTGTCCATCCGCCATGACGTTATATGATTTTTTGATCTTGGTGACTATGGTGATAGAAGATTATTACAGGTCGTTTAACTAAGAGCAACTTGGCTTGCAATATGGCATGGAAAGCATGAAAAGATTTTTATATTTTTAAAAACAAAAAGAAAAAAAATGTACAGGACCTCGTTAAAGATCTTATGCAGCTTGTGGCTATAGGTAGGAAATGTTTGTCTAGCAAGTTTAGGAAGTTGCATCCAACATTGGTCCTCATATTCTTACTGAAAGGAGCTAGGGTTAAACCAAATCATGTTGCGTTGCCTCCTGCCCGGTGCCTTAGTGCGTTTTGGCAAATAGGTGCTGCATCATTAAAATATTGCTCTTCAGACTAGAGTGATGATATGCGTTAATTATTTGCTGCGGGTAACTGTTTAATGACGCATGGCGGGTGGTTGGAATGTTTGTTGATATATATCGGATCGCCATTGCATGGGCTTCCTATAAGGTATATACTTTCAGTCTTTCCGGCGGAAAGATCGAGTGTTACGTCTAAAATGGTTGATCTAATAATATTTCCGAGAGTGTAATGGACGATTTTTGATAAGCAATACTTTTATATCTGATCTATTTTTATGGTATTGAGCTCTCTCTAGTAATTCGTAAACCGAACGACACCTTAATATTTGCCCATAAAAATCGGCCGACAAAAATCGTACAACAAAAATGTTAGACAGTAGAGGGATAGACAATAGATGCAGGTAGACAATATAGGAATGACATGTCTGTCAATGGTACTGTCACCTGTACTAAACCAAACTTCTTTGAATTCACGTAGGTGTTTTGTGCTCGATCTAGTCTCAAATATTGATGGCATCAATTTTGGAATAGATATGGATAAAAATTTTTGAGGACGCGAATTTCCGGGCCACGTGTTTATTTACTATACGTATGAGCGAAAAAAGGGAAAATCTAGTCTATTATATAGCCCAAGGTACTTAATTGAATCATTGTGATCTCAGTAGCAATCCACACGGACAGGTCCATATTTATCATAAATGCAGCTCGGGAAAGAATTATTCCATCCATTATGACTGCAATCCCAGATGAATGATTCATCACCAGAGCATTGAACATTCGAGAAAATTGCAGGACTACCACTTCTTTTACCATAGAAATCCAAGGTTCTGATCACAGTCCCTCCAGAGAAACCCAGCTGACGACAGACGACGTTGGCTGCGGTGTTTTTCAAATGTGCATATCCGTTACCGCCAATATGGATCATACCACAAACCGTTCCCCAGCCAAGTCTGGGATGATATATTTCTATTCTTCCACTCATATTGTTGCTCGAACCATTCAACCTGATTTGTAGATCAGAGTAGGCTGTAATTGAGACAATTACACATGTAAGAAAGAATTCGGTGTGGTATATATAACAGGTAGCTTAAACTCGATTTGCCTGCGCTTGCAGACAAGATTACTAGCTTTTATTATCATATAAGCCATTATTATGATCATAATGATCCCACTCATACGATCTCATTCAGCGTTATCAACGTCAGGATCATTGCTTCGATTCCACATAGAAAAGCGGTATATTCCATGAACGTAGGCGGTAGGCCGTTTTTGTGACATCGCTCGACATTTCAAGACAAATTGAGCCTAATAACATGCTGGGATAACAATTACAACGTGATTGAATAATTATGAACATACTGATACCGACTGAACGCGGTTGTTATGTTGTATTAACAAACTAACAGAGAATAACGCATCCTTTGGGAAAGGGGGTACCACGTCTCCAAACATGCTTGCATCTTATTTACCAAGGGACACATGAGAAACGACTCTTCGCGTTAATAAAGTTAAAGTTAGTGAGCATGAGTTTGTGATCGTTTCATAAAAAAGTTATATAGACTATGTGCACACGGTAACGTTTTCGAGCGTTTTCATTTTCGTTTTCATGCCAAAACGGATTCAAACACCGTCAATAGAAGTTGAAACTAATTTAACATATTGAGTATATTTTTTTTGCATCGTCTGGACAAGGCGTCAAAGTGATAAACTAGATAAAAACGATTTTGAAAACACTCGAAAACGACGCTCGTGTGCACATAGCCATAGTAATGCTTTCGGTACTTCGTTTGGTGAAATTTATATTTAGTGGGCACTATATCTGATCAGCAGTTCGAATGATGCGCCAAGGCTGTTTCATGGCCTCTATTGCCCGCAAGGATGCATATTACTCAGTGCATGTGCACCCAGGTGATGAAAATACCTAAAACTTTGTTGGAAAGGGGAACTATACAAATACACGTGCATGATCCCCTTATGGTTTTGCATGCTGCCCTAGGAAGTTCTAATGAACCAATTTTCCCGAGCATTTGTGGCATGCTGATTTCACTGATTTGCATATATACTAATTTGCATTTAACATTTAAATAACATAATTAGCCTTTCTCACGATGACGAATATGCCGCCATTTTTGGGGTACTTATTCTCAAAACCGCAAGCGTGAGACCTCATAACGGCCAATGGTCTGTTGATTCTAAAAAAAATTGCTTTTCATGTTGTTATAACTTTTAAAACCCGTTTGAAAAAATTGAAAGTACCCCAAAACGTCATCGTGCGAAAGGCTAATTGCCTTCAACTTTTAACAAAAAATCTTAAAATATACTGATATAGTAAAAGTGCAAAACTTAAAACAATCGTTGCCCTGGACATTGCCCACTGTTTTACGACCTCGGGATATATAGAACAACCATATTGCAGAAATAAAATGTTACCTAATCCCGACATATATAAAGGTATGTTGCACTTGAATAATTTAATGCAAAATGAAGAAAACCACTTGCCACTCAAAACAATGTCGATCATTAGTAAAATATATGACTGCGCACGAAGGAGGACTGGAGTGTCCTGCAGTTCCAATAGTCTATTTGCTTTTTGCATAAAAAAATAACTTCGTCGAAAACTCTTGACAAGTCAACCTTAGTGTAGATATCACACCCACCACACGCCCCTAATATGTGTTCCATTTGTGTACGCAAATTTGTGTTATATATACACACTTTTGTGTTAACTACACGGTGTATAAAAAATTACCCCTATTGAAATAACCATTTTGTTGGAATTTGAATGCATGATTAACGTATTGATGTACAAATGGCATAGTAATTTGGTTGAGGCACTTAAATTAAGCGCACCGCTTTCAATTTTGCCCATCCGTGGGTTTAGCATAATAATGAGTTCAAATTTTAGCAAAATGCTTGATTTCATACACCATGTAAAACGATAATTGGGGGAGAGGTGTTTATTCATATATTCAGTTCTGCCCGACGGATTTCTATTGTAGCTACATGGTGATAACTCATGCGTTTTTTGGTAAATATTTATCAATAACATTTATACAAAAAGATTTATCGGTATTTTGTGGTTTGGTTAAAGAAGAGCGATTTGGCAACAATTTGCTCAATTTGTCTAATTAAGAACATCGTATGATTTTTTTATGAATATTTAAAGCGTTTCGTATTTTGCATCTCTAAAATTCACCTGGCTGGAATACCCCTGTCTGGATTTTAGGCTGGATCCGCGCCTGGAAAAACATTCTGGCAGTTCTCTCAGCAGACTCGAAAATGTGCTTATTAGCTGTATATCAAGAAAATGCATGGAGAAGGCGTGCCATTTTTTCATGAATTCAATTTTTCAAGATTTTTATCGTTCCTCGAAAAACTAGCTGGACGTATATTTTTCGAATCAGGCTTTGTAAAAGGTGTTTTAGAAGATTGTATGCGATATTCAAAATGCTTGATTCAAGTGCTTTCCAGTGATTTATCAATGTCTTCGCTAGAACGCACAAGAATATCTGACATATGGTTAAATAATATTCTACTTAATACTGCACTTACTAATACATTCAGTATCATTTGAGGGAATGTCTTCAGCGCATCCACATTTGCAAGAACCTGCCGTGTTGACGCACTTTTCTGGATTTAGTTGACAGCCACAATATGGATGCGATTGGCATTCATTAATATCTAAAAGAACAATTTTAGAATATCATTTATAGTATTCAAGACTATAAACATAGGATTTATGCGGCGATTTGGTCTGAAAAAACCTTGGGGAAAGTAAAGTAAAGTAAAAGGTCCCTGCTTCCAAAACCACGTTATGACTCAATAACCTTTTCACGCAGAAGGCCACTGTGGAAGTTTTGTTTGCAGTACAGTATATTCAGGAAAGGGACACAATGCGGCCTTGAGGCCAAGTTACTAGGGAGTTTACGATCTACGACACTGACGCTGTTAGGTCTGATTATACTGCCAGGACTTTAAAGTGCCTATATCACTTGTGGGATCTTTACGTATTTGAAAAGAGCTTGAAATGTTAACTTTTAAGTTCTATTACCATTTTTTATATAGTTAAATAGTTTCGGAAGTATTTACATCTAAACACAGCGATTTTCTATTTTATTGAAAAAAAAGTCCGTGGTGTTAAAGGGACTGTGACTCAGGAACGAGTTGCAAACATGCCATCTTTTGTAATGTAAACATACAGAGTTTCTCGTGATATATAGATTGCACTCTTCAAAAAAAATGCTGGAACATTGCGTCGATGTTGTCAATCAATTCATCTTCGACGGCATAAGAGGGTTCGCCTTCTGCTGTTTCTTTTGACGCCATTTCAACACATTCATCTTCAATTTCATAATCAGGGCAATCGTAGGAGCCTTCGCCGTCAAAAGGATTCGATTCTGAGCTTGACATAACGTGTTTTCTTACAATATCTTCGTTTATTGGAAAACCGAAGTAAAAATACAATAGATTTATAAAAATACAATAGAGTCCCAGGCCCCGGAGGACGACGGAAATTTTTGCAAATCGCTGTTTAGATGTAAATATTTCCGAAACGATTTAACTATATCAAAAATGGTAATAGAACTTATAAGTTAACTTTTCAAGCTCTTTTTAGTTCCGTAAAGATTCTACAGGTGATATAGGCACTTTAAAATACCAACGGGATCACAATTTATGTAATACCTATTGTCTCGCGTGTCATGCGTGTAAACGCCCTGCTGCATACAGTCATGTTCTTAACGCACAAACTCTTTCCGTAGAAAACAATCTCATGCAGTATAATTTATTTTGTTCTTCATATAAATTCAGTGTGGCTCTGTGGATTCGCGTAGCGCTTTTTAAGGGTTAATCACCATGTGCCGCCGGTAAAGACAATGTACAAAAATGGCGGACAGTTACTTCAAAGTTACTAGTGTCCAGCAGTCTCCAATGCGGGCTCACGAAAAAAACTTCAGCACTTTATCCTAGCACTTTACCTAGTATCATAATACCTTTTCGTTTGGTGTAAAAGCTAGTTTCCACTCAGGAAAAATCTCCTTTGGATCGGAACGGACAGAAAAATTTCCTTTGTCCGTGAGTTCTCAGGCGGCGTTTATACAAAAGAAACTTACCTGTCCTGTCCTGTCCAGGCTGTCCTGTCCTGTCCTTTCCTGTCCTGTCCTGTCCTGTCCTGTCCTGTCCAAAAGAGAATTTTCCTGAGTGAAGACTAGCCTTAACACTGGGTGCAATCCACAATTATCTATTTTTTTAGCATTCTTTTTACCAATAATACATGATTAAAGTAGAAGTCCAGTCCGTATGTAAATAAGCGGTTTGTTTACATGTTGAACTTCTATACTTCTTAAAATACAATCCCTGTGTTAATATCTAATACTGTATTTAAGTTCGCTACGCTTCCAAATGAACGTATATTTGAGTTTATGTGCAGAAAAATTGTACAGAAAGGGCCCTCCATTGTTATGAGCAGAACGATAAAAAAAATTTAAATTGGGACGTTCATGGAATCTGTATGAATTTGGACTTAAAATTTAAAGCTCAATTAATGCGTATTTTTAGCCAGATGAAGTATGATGAACACAAAATTATGGATGTAGTAACAGAACTTATTATTATACTGTATAGGATCTACGTAATTACCAATAAAATTTTGGCTGTGACTGGCTTTATCAGCCTCCATTTTGACAGAAAAATTCAAAACACAAAAAAGAACAGAAGCGGTGAGCATCACTACAAATGTTGATATGATAGAAGATTCACGAAAAACCAATTACACGGAAATACATACCAACACATGACGTTCTGTTCACCGCGGAGAAACCTTTTTTACAAGTACAGCTGTATGAACCTGGAGAGTTATTGCAGGAGGCAGTAGATGCCGGGTTACACACGGATGACAAACATT